CAATAAATCTGGCCGCAAACTATTAGAAGAGAAATAAGAGAGACTAACTGGTATGTTTATGTTGTGTGAGCAAACAAGTGACCCTCACCTGCATAGCCAAGAGGCACAGATATGCAATTACATGCAAATGGGAGATGTGTCAAAGCAATCGGTGGGAATGAATAAAAATAAAAGAAGCACTTCAAGCACCATCTATTTTTATTGACAATCAAAACGATGGTCCAGCACTACTATTAGGCTGTCTTCTTTTGAACAGGCACGAGGCATGGCTACTTTGCCAAAGGGGGCCCCTGCTGTTATCAATACTAAAAAATGAAGGGAGATGACAAACTGAAGCAGGGCCATTTCTGTTCACAAGCTTCTCTAAAACAGGAAATCCTGACATGCTGTAGAAACTAAGCATCAAGCCAGAAAGACTCCATACTGCGCCAGTGACTAGAAACACTGGCTTTTTCTGGGCAGCTGCTAAAGGAAACAGCAGAGCAGACGATAATCTGTGTGTTCTTGGTGAGATGGAGGAAAAATTGCTGGGGCCAGATTGGATTTCTTGTTACTGAATTCTCATCTGCAATCCTCAGCACCACTTCTCCTAGCCCATCTGTGGACAAGTGTCTGATTATTGATGAAAGAAAACAGCTGAGAATGAGAGACGTTTTGGAGTAGGGAGAGAAACAAGCCTCAGGACCTATTTATTCATACTGAGGAATTCATTTTGATCCAGACAGCATCAAGCATCATTTCAGAGAAACTGGCAATAACAGAACTTGATTTTACTAAGTGAATCAGAGCAAATAACTGTGCAATGGCTCTGAAAGGCAGGGTGTGAATACTGAAATAATGCCATCTCCGTCCTACAGGCTTTGCGTGTAGGGTCTGTGAACAAACTCATAACACTCTGATGGTATTTAATTCCAGGGAGATTTCAGAGCCTCTTCCATCAAGTTAAAAGTCAGGAATAATGAGGCTTCTACAATCAATGAATACAACTGAAGAGTGAGGGAACAGTACACCACTCACTGTGGGCCCTAACACACATCAGGCACCGTGCCAGTCCCAGCCCCGCCAGCAAATATCTGCTTAAATGGCGGCTCTCATCCTGCGCACCGGAAATTCAATTTGTTCCGTAAGACTGGGATGAAAAAGCAATTATTCACAGTCCCCTCTTTTCACAATCTGTTTCTTTAAGATATCTCCCTTCTTCCCCCTGCTAACAAATAAACCTCCAGATTACTGCTATGTGTGGCTGTTCATAGGGGCAGCCAGTTGAAGCACTAAGATCAGGCCAGCTAAAAAGCCTGTCAATCAGGCTGAAAGATGGAGTCAGGTTCAGCACGAAGAGATATGTACCCCTACGGTCCCCATCATCCCCATGGGATGTGTGTAAAAGCCACTAGATAATGGCTTGATAGTTGGATGTCTCTTCGGAGCGTTGAGGAAAGACGTAAGCACATGTCAGAAGGACACTTCTTTTACACCAATTACACTACACAGAGCGCTGTAAAACCAGCGCCCCCTCCCCGACCATCCGATCAGTGGGAAGTGCTGTCAAGGGGGCCCACTGAGCCGAGGCTCCAATTTACACTTGGGGTATTAGGTGGGACCCTGGCGTGACAGTGCAAAGTACCACGGAGCTGCTTCACATGCTTCCACTTACTTGAACACACCCTGGGACGAGTTGGCAGATCTAGTGGGTCAGAGAGAAGCTCATGTTTGAGTCATGACCTTGTTTCCTTCAGATTTAACTGGAACAACACCTGTTGATTGAACGATGTGAAATTCGTTCTTTCCATTGTAATTGGCTCCCTCCTATGTTCAGAGGGCAAGGATACAAAAGGTCGATAATTGAAAGATGGAAGGGGACGAGCGACAGCGGCGTAACTGTAGCATGAATGAAAAGGAGGGATAAGCTTAAGAAGTTATTCATCTGAGAAGGGCAGTGTGACAGCATCAGCTCCAGAAGAGACCTATGGATCTGGTGAAAGCTTAAGGCTGGTCACCCATGATTGCACTTCCACAACCTCAATACCTTAAATCCCATTCAAAGAAGAGAGAGAGAGAGAGGGAGAGAGGGAGGGAGGGAGGGAGGGAGAGACTTTATTCAACTTTTTCTATATTCTACAGTTACACAAAGGTATAAGTTAAAATGTGGGACTTTCCAGGCGTCTAATCTACCTGTTGATTAAATGGGAGGGAGAAAAGTTCAATAGTCTAAAGGCAAGACAATGTAAAAGATTGATTTTAACATCAATTAAAACTGAATGGATGAGGTTGTGCAACTTGTGCATTTAATAGAAACTGTTTTGTTTTTTCCCCCTTTCTTACTTTGTGCAGCTTACTTGAAGCTTGCCTGTTTACGACTTTGCATCAGAGTCAGAGAGGAGTGCTCAATCTGCCAGGGCTGCAAATGGCTGCGTAATATCTCAGACTCAACAATAAACTAGTGTTTTACATCAATAAAACACATATTAAAATGTAAATCAATTCAGTTCAATTACATTTCGTACATAGCACCAATTAATAGTGCAACATAAAACTTCAAGGAGCTTTATGTTTCACTGTTGCAGAGAAATGTTACAAGTATTTTGCAACAGTGGAAAGGAACAACTCTCCTAACAAGAAGAGAACTCCAGCAGAACCAGGCTAACCGATGAGTAATCCTGATGCGAAAAGCAGCCATTTTTAAACATCTGCAGTTTTATCAGCCATATGTATGAATACGACCCACAGTGCAATTTCCAACACTGGTCAGAACAAGCCACAGTTTCACTTGCATATAAAAATATGCACAAACAAGATGACTTAATGGTTCATATAATTCAAAGAGTGACCAATCAAGACAATACAAATGAGGCACAGCTGTTTCCATTACAGAAGGGAGGAGAAAACAAAAAAGCAAGCCTTTCACCCAGACTGTTAACAACAGCATTGCAACAAGTAGCCAAATGAACTTAAGACTAAACAAAAACATATTTTCAACATTTTTGATTATAGTTCATCTTCTCCATAATCAAAATCTAATTATGCACTTTCAAGATGTGACAGTCCACAGCTGGTAGTGTTGGAACTAATACATCTTTGCTTAACATTTATATTTTATAGATTTTCTTAAAATGATCAGAAGTGAAGCCATTTGTATTTACCAAAAAAGGGGCAACCCTATATTTATACCATCTTTATAACACCAGTATTACTTATTATTACAATTAGTAATACAATTAGTAGAAATTCTATAGAATTTCTACTAATTGGATTGGCTACTGCACAATTCATTTTTGGGGGGAATTGTTTAATTTGTTTAAATGTTTTTGCAAGATCCTACAATCTTCTTCCTCTAACAAAGCAACTCAGGTTGGAAACTGTTGAAATCATGACTGGATACATTAAGTGATTAAAATCATAAGAAATGCTCATTTATTAACATTTATTGTGACTATTTCCTCATTACAAAATGTTTGCCTTTGTGTTACCAGAACATTTTTATACAGATCACACTACCTGTTAAATCTGAAATGCTTAACAGTGCACAATGCCAAATCACACCAGCTGTTACATCCTTCATGGTCTGAATCAGAATGATGGCTGTGTAAAATCAACAAGATGGCAATGAGGTGTGGACAGGATTTTAAAAAGCTGAAGTCTTGATGGTTGAAAAAAGTTAG